CGGCTATAACACCACCACAATAGTGGCTAACAGCCCCGACATAGCGGCTATAACAGCACCACAATAGTGGCTAAACACATCATACAGCTCAGCAATAAACAGCACAGCAAAACAGCTCACAGCACAGCACAACAAAATCAACATACAACACAGCTAAGTAGTATTCAACACAGCATACTACTCACAACTCAGCTCATCATTCTAGAGTACAACCATATTATAAATCAGCATTTAAAATCATCAATAACAGCCCAGCTCAGCACAGCGATATACATCTATTACGGCTTAACATCATTTTTCAGCATTTACATCTAGTCAGCACAACATATTTATCAATTACATCTCAGCTCAGCAATTACAGCATAATTCAACAACTATCAGCATATGATTCAGCTTGACTCAAACAATAAAGTTCAGCATTAGCATCACACAGCACAACTCAGCGTTACATCATTAACAACATATAGCATAACACAACTTTTCATCACACGACATTAGCAGCATTAATCAGCATAAACAACATTCAGCATAAAACAATATTATCATCAAATTCAGCATATAACTTCACATCCTCATGCGCTCCCGGCGCACTCACGGTCACGCCTGGCGTGGCACAACCAGAGGGCTCCAGGGGCCAACGCGCCCGGCGCAAGCGTGCCTGTACCCAGCGAGACTTAGCCAGAGAGTCCAAAACTCTCTCGCGCCTGGCGCAATACCTAATTGCACCCAGCGCAGGCCAGGCAGAGACTCCAAGGAGTCTCACACGCCTGGCGTGCCTCAACCCGCGCCCAGCGCAGGTAAGGCAGAGACCTCCCTTGGTCTCGCGCCCAGCGCAAACCAAATTGCGCCCAGCGCCCTCGAGGCAGAGACTCCCAAGGAGTCTCACGCCCAGCGCGACAAGGTCCGCGGTTAGCGCAGCACATCAATATCATCGCTCAGCTCAACAACATTCATCATTAACAGCTTAAAACAACATGATCAACACATAATACGACCCAACCATCTTGTTTACAACTCATCTATCTTGTCAACTTACCCACCCACACAACACCAATTAGCCTAAGCACCTATAACAACTCTCAACTTAACCAAATCACTAAATGCGAAATGGCAACCTTCACAGAAAATAGCACATCAGGAGTTATACTACTTCTACCATGCTCATCCTTATCTCATAAGAAAGATAAGAAGATTTCCTACAACTCTCATGAAGACACCAAGTCCAAGTTCTTTCATCTACCTTGTTAAAAATGATAAAAACCGCAACAGCTATAAACAAAGCTAGCAGCTTGACCCCTCTTCACTAAAACAGCCATATCTAGAGTTTAAAACTCCTTTTTGGGTGATTCCAGCGCCATTGGAAAACTAACATCCAAGGCTACAACTTTCATGAAGACTATAAAGTCAAATTATGAAAATCAAATTCACGTCCGGCGCATTAAAAGCGCGCCCGGCGTAATTCTCAACCAGAGACCTACAGAGGTCTATTGGGCCCGGCGTGGTTCTCCCCACGCCCGACGCGATTCACCCAGGGATTTCCCATTTCAAATCACGCTCGGCGCGAAGAACTGCGCCCAGCGCAAATTCAAATAGGAACCCTTACCTACTGCGAAAATTTCATCAAACCTGCACAAATCAAGTTATCCAAACACATGCAATCGGTTCAAAACTCCACGTTTTCATCCAACAGCTCAAAAATCCCAGCTTTTTACACATGCAACATCAAACAAAGAAAATCCCTGAATTTTCATCAAAACCCCGGAAAAAATTCATTTTCATCAATCTCAGCCATCAATCCGCAACAATCAGCCATCATGTGAGTTTCTAGCTCACTCCCAACAATCAATCACAACCAAAACTAACTTCCCTTACCTCGATGCGAGAATCCGAGCTCTGGGAAGACTAAGAAGCTTGAACGAAGAGGAGAACGAAAGAGAAGATAAGGAGAAGGAATCCGTCTTCCGGCTAGCTTCACAAGGCTTGCGTTTGAGAAGTTCAACCTCTAGGTAACTACCTCTTCAGCTAGAGAGCATGAAATTTGAGAGAATAAGGAAAAGAGAGAATGGAAACATAAAGAGTATAAGTGAAAGTGAGGGAGAGAAAAGGGAACGAAAAAGGAAATAGGGGTCTCACAGGTTTGACCAACCAATTCGATTCAATTTTTAAAATTGTGTTTAATATATTATATTTGTTATTCATAAATTAAACTTAAATATTTCTTAAAAAATATCAATAGTTAAAATAATATGATTACACAATAGAAATTCATTACAAATTTATACAATAAAAAATATTTATTTATCACAAATATTAGTTATAATATAATAGTATATTCAAAATTTTATATTTATAAATCACTACAAGAAAAATACATGAGACGGTATAGATGATGATGACTTAAAGAAATTAATTTGTACTATTTATATCAATGAGATGTATCTACTATTTGGTAGCTTATAAGAACTTCACAGTTAAGCGTACTTGACATGGAGTAATTTAGGGATGGGTGACCTTCTGAGAAGTTTTCCAAAAAATGTGTGGGTGACGACAAGGCACGCTAAGATGTCTTGTGTTGATTTGTGGGATTTGTGGGGTCAATCTTTGATTGGTGAAGGTTTCTGACAAACGAAAAGTTGCATGAAGTGTCGCGAAGTGGAGCTATTAAAAGGTCAGATATGAGGGATGTTGCACTAAATAAGGGTGTTATTTAATATAATTTTGAAATAATTTTTTAAAAATATTATCAACAATACCCACCAATTTTATCTGTAAATAATTCTGTCAGAAAGTTACCCACGAATTATAATCCGTCGGTAAATATTTCAGACGAGTAATTTACCGACAGATTATTGTCCGTTTGTAATCCGTCAAAAATGAAGTGTTACCCATGAATTTTTTGGATTATCCACGGATTTTGGTTGTCTGTAATTTCAAAATTTCTTGTAGTATATTTATAAGTTTTTTCTTTTAATTACTATTGTTCATAAAGTATATTCTAAATTTCTATTTTTAAAAATATGTAATGTTACTACCTAATATCAAAACTCACAAAATTAATATTTAATTATAAAAATCATAAAATAAATATCAGGTTTCTAAATATCAAAATTATAAAAATCGTGTAATAAATAATATTAATTAATGTGAACAATTTAATTTTTTATTAAATACAATTAGACTCATTAAATGAGTTACACGTCATCAATGACTATTTGAAACACTAGTACAAAAGAGGTAATTTACGTCTGTTATTTTAAGTTTTTTACGTCAGAAAAAAGTCTGACGTCAATGCGGGAGACGTAAATTTATGTTACTTGTGAAAATCGACGTAAATTTACGTTGGACATTACCAAGATTCGACGTAAAAAAGTTGTAAAATGCCTCCCATGCACTCTTTTTATTCACTTTTGCTACTTTTTTTTACGTCGGACCCGGTAGGATCCGACGTAAAAAAGTTTACAAAAATTACAAAAATGTCACCGCATTTTTTTTATGTCGGTTTTTGTTATGTCTGATGAGAAAGAGATAACGTAAAAGACTCATTTTTCACTAGTGAAAGTTAATGTTTCCATCGATGACTAAATATTAAGTATCTATATTCATTCATGTTCACATAAAAATCTCCCTGTTTACAGATATCCAACTTATCAATAAATTATTCTTTTGACTATATATTAAGTATGTATATTCATTCATGTTCACATAAAAATCTCCCAGTTTAGAGATATCCAACTTATCAAAAATTATTTTTTTGAGTGTTAGGAGGATGAGTTCTCATGTTGTTCAAGTTGTTTCAGAATGTTTTGTCAAGCCACCAAGCCCAGCTAAAGAATCAAGGCAGATATATAATTTAGCAGCTTGGGATATTGTTTTGCTTGCCATGCAATACATTCAGACTGGCATACTATTACAGCAAACTAGCCTTGTTAATCAAAATGCCATCGAAAATTTCTTGAACCTTTTCAAGCAGTCCATTTCCCTTACCCTCGCTCATTTCTATCCGTTGGTTGGCCGCTTTGTCACCCAAAAGACCAAAGACCCTCCTTCTACTACCATTTTCATTGATTGTAGCAATAGTCCTGGAGTTAGGTTGATCCACGCAACATTGGATATGAGTGTATCAGACATTCTTACCTCTGCTGACAATTCCACCATTGTTCAATCATTATTTGATCACCACAAAGTATCCAACCATGATGGTCACACCATGCCACTATTTTCTGCTAAAGTCACCAAACTAGTGGATGGTCTTTTCGTAGGTTGTTCAATGAATCATGCCGTAGGTGATGGGGTTGCTTTTTTTAATTTCATTAGTGCATGGTTTGAAGTCGCTCGTGCTCAAGTTCGAGCCGGAGGGCCTTTAGATAATGTTCCCATTTCACGCCCTCCAATTCATGATCGGTGGTTTCCAGATGGTTGCGGCCCATTTATCAATTTACCTTTTAAAGACACGGATGAGTTTAAGAGAAAATTTGAAGAAACCGAGTTTAGAGAGAGAATCTTCCACTTTTCAGGAGAGTTTATTGCAAAACTAAAAGCAAGGGCCAATTGGGAGGCCAAAACCACTGAAATTAGTTCATTACAATCCTTATCAGCACATGCTTGGAGATGCATAACACGTGCGCGCCACCTACCACGTGATCAAAGAACAAGTTGCAAATTGGCCATAGATAATCGATCTAGATTGGAACCACCTTTGCCAAATGAGTACTTTGGAAACGCACTTAGTATGGTGAGTGCAGATAGCACGGCAGGGGAATTGCTTGAACACGATCTAGGATGGGCAGCAAGGAAGTTGAACCTCGCTGTTGCAAACCATAATGACAAAGTGGTGCGACAAGAGGTTCTTCATTGGCTACAACAACCGAAGATATTCCATTTTGGTTCTTACTCAGATTCCTTTGACGTGACCGTGTCAAGTTCGCCCAGGTTCAATCCGTTTGGGAATGATCTATGGCTCTGGAAAGGGGTAAAAATTCTAACTGGGTATAACAATAACCATGATGGCAGACTGACATCATCTGCAGGATTATATTTAATGATAATCGATTATTTTGAGTTAGTTTTCAAAACTTTGTTTTAAGTCTCAAAATAACTTCTTAATCCTTTTAACTCATCATCATACACTCCCTAATCAGTTTAGATATAGATTTAGCTTATGCACATAGCACACACAACAAATAAACTCAATCAAAACAATTTATACACTAATTCCTATTACATAGCACTTTCTTTGACTTTGTTTTTGCCTTCTCAGTTGTTGTTATCCTTGGCACACATTTGTTATCATCAAAACTCTTCAAGCCTCGGAGGTGATCTCATCAAGTTCAGGCTCCCCTAATCTCAACAATCTCCCCCTTTTTGATGATGAAAACCCATGACACAAACCATGACAATTGTGTTTTTTCTTTCTCTTTCAACAACACAAAACTCTGCAAAGCACACAACCTGCAAAACCATACACACAACAACCTTTCTCCCCCTTTGAGATCGGTCCTTCATGTAAAAATCCATGGGAAATTCCGTCGGAAATTTGATCCGTGGGAAATTTGACTTTTTCTTGTAGTGTTAGACCTTTTTGGTGATTTGGAACGTCCTGTTCCAGTTTGGGGAACAACCCGATCTATTTTGGGAATGACCCGTTTCGTTTTGAGAACAGCCTGTTCTGAGCTACTAAATCACCCTTATTGGGTTTTGGGCCTTCTGATGTCATATCGTGTTATTTCCATGTTTTGGGAACTCTTTTCCTTGATAATAGAAGTCCATTCCCTTGATTGTATGCCTTGGACGAAATTAGGTGTCTACAATATTTATAAAATACATTTAAATATCAAAATAATCTCTAAAATACCTTAATATAATTTATGAAAATTGGAGTGTTACAATTTTCATTAGATATAATTAATTTTATTAAATTTGATTACATCTTGACTTTTATAAGTTTAAGTCTCCGTTAATAATTATAATAAGCGTGACATTCTAACAATATGTGATATATTTAGTAGATAAGTTTTTCTCTTAAGCATGTTGTAAAATATTAGATTCCTGTGTGTGTGAAAAAATATTTGTTGAAAAAGGTCAACCCTTTAAATGGATCTCACTACTTAGAAGAACTAGTCTTTAATTTTTTGTTGAAGGATACATTAGTTTGCCCAAAAAAATTGTTAATGAGGAATTAAATTCTTTGTTCATTATAATTAATTACAATAAATTAAATTAGATCTTATTATTGACGGACTTTTTTCCACGGATATTACCCATAGATTTTTTTTGTTTGAAATATCATAAAGATGTTACTCACAGATTTTTTTGTGCGAAATTGTGGTGTTTTTGACAGATATTTTCATGGATTATCTATCTAAAACATTGTTCATAGAAAATGAAAAAAAAATCGTCGATAACTTTAAAAAAATTAACGATAAAAGATTAACAAATTGAATTCTTAAATACTTAACTAATTTTTTCATGCAATTAATTTACCATACCAACTATTATATATATATA